AGTAGTAGTAGTAGTAGTAGTAGTAGTAGTCGTAGTAGTCTTCGTCGTCGTCGTCGTAGTAGTAGTAGTAGTAGTAGTAGTCGTTGTCTTTGTCGTTGGCGTTGTACGATTGGTCGTGGTAGTAGTAGTAGTAGTAGTAGTAGTAGTAGCAGTAGCAGTAGCAGTAGCAGTAGTAGTAGTAGTAGTCGTAGTCGTAGTCGTATTAGTATTAGTATCAGTATTATTATTATTATTAGTAGTAGTAGTAGTAGTCGTAGTCGTATTAGTATTAGTATTAGTAGTAGTAGTAGTAGTCGTAGTAGTAGTAGTAGTAGTGGTGGTAGTAGTAGTGGTATTATTAGTAGTAGTAGTAGTAGTAGTAGTAGTAGTAGTAGTAGTAGTAGTAGTAGTAGTAGAAGTAGTAGTAGTAGTCGTAGTAGTAGTAGTAGTAGTAGTAGTCGTCGTCGTCGTCGTCGTCGTCGTCGTAGCCGTAGTCGTAGCAGTCGACCCCTTCCCCAGGAGCAGTTTTCCGTTTCAGATTAATTTCTGATTGCTCCAGGGCCCCATGACTGGCCCTGAAGGCCCAGATCGAAGGAAGATCGCCAGTGGGGGAAATTCCATTATCGTCGGAGATCTGTGGTCCCCGAATAAAATTCCGAGCGCAAAATATGACCACCATCGCCAAGATCGGGAAGCATGTGCGATCCGATTTGGTGCAGCTTTGCTCTGGTGGAAGACCCGCAGCCTCCTTCCGCCGCCCACGGCAAAGGGACTGCCCCCGACACAGAATTCATCAAAACACGCGCGGTGGTGGTGTACATAATTGTGGTTACAAAGGGGAACGATTTTTATACCACCGCGAAGAAGTGTTGCTTCTGCTTCAGGAACTCCCCTACCGCGGCGCCCGAGCGCCGCGTCGTGCTGCCGTTCGCCGCGGGGTCGCAGCGTTGTCTGGCATGACACTGCCTTCAACAATTTTTGCGATTCTGTGTTGCTGCGGGCGGTGGTGGTGTGTAAGAATTGTCTTCGCACAAAGGTCCGAAAACTCAGCATCGTCTCTAGTCCCTGGGACCAGGTGTTCGTCCCGAATCGTTTCTGGACGGTCCCGGTGCCTTGCAAGGGCCCCCAAAGACCGAAACAGCAAGAACGTTCCCACCGTGCTTTATTCACGACGCGAAGGGTGTCCACACAAGCAACACAACCACAATTTAAGCCCCTCATGTAAACGCTTCGGATGACTACTGTGCACCCCGCCCTGCAATATGAAGTTGTGAACCTGCTGGAAGCCCGAACAGAACCCCTATCAACATTACTGGGTTCAAAACACGGGCTGTCGATCCACACGGCACGAGTGGCTGGGGTAGCGGAGCTACAGCAGTTAAGACATCTGCGTCCACAATATGCTAATATGTGGGTAGTTGTGAAAGCTCGCGCAGCCGAAGGAGCGGGGGAAAGAGTTGGCCGCTCAGATTTTCTCCTGGGTCCATCTCCCGCAAGCTCCCTCTCACATTCCAAGGTGTCAACAGCTGCGATTCGCAATCTCATACGAAGGAGGAGAGCCTTACGTTCTGTATCGTGACACGCGAACCTCACATACTCGGGGACTCCGACACGGTCGGCGGCAGCCCTGGCTAGAATATCGGCAACAATATTTCCTTGCACCATCCATGCTGGAACGGTGCATCTGGAAAGCTCCTGCACTGTCAAATGTGAGCTGATGAACAACATTACACATGATGCCTCGTCCAGTTCACGTAACTACACGCCGACCTGCCACCACACGTCGGCATCTGGGCCTGTGGACGACTGGTGCCGCTTCTGCGCCCAGCCGTCTGCAACTCCACCGCTGTCTGTGACATACATAACGTGCCCTGATGCGATCTGGGCCGCCAGCAGTAGGGCCCTCAACTCTCCGCGGGGTACCATCTGCTTCACCTGCGGTCCGACCAACGGGCTCGAAACCGTCGCTCCGACTCGAGACGGCGTGACACTATCCGCTCTGGCAAGTGATAGTCCAACTCGACGCAATCGGTTGCTGCTGGAATCTGCTCCCCCGCTGGCATCACCGCACACGATGATTGTATGTTGGGCCGTGCCGTGGCCAAACGTAGCGTGGGAGAACGGATCCCCGACCGTGCACGCGGTGGACCACTGCTCGTCTGACGCTGGCGGGGGTACAGCCAGCCACGTCGAAGAAATCAAACCTCTGAGCCAGAAACATTCGTCGGCCTGCGCCTGGGTATACGCCTCGGCTGCCAACGAATCAGAAGGAGGAGCAGGTGGAGGAGGACGAGGAGTGAGGAGGTGGAGGATGGGAGGAAGAGGAGGGTGAGGAGGAGGAGGGGGAGGAGGAGGAGGAGGACGAGGAGGAGGAGGAGGAGGGGGAGGAGTGGGAGGAGAAGGAGGAGGAGGAGGAGAAGGAGGATGGGGAGGAGTGGGAGGAGAAGGAGGAGGAGGAGGAGGAGGAGAAGGAGGGTGGTCTTCGGGCGTTTTCGTCGGCTCTTAACAAAAAGCGCAAGGACCAAAGAAAACGTCCTTCCATTCGTGAGCGAAAAATACTTCTTCGCGAACTCGCGGGCCGGGCCCCTGGGCCGCGACCCCGCGGATACGGCGCGTTTTGTTCGCTGGTGTCCCGCGTGGAGCGTACCCGTGCGACCATGTATCCGGGGATCGCGCCTTGGAATCTCGACCGCGAAGGCGCGGATATGGATACATTCGCCGCTAGTGGCATCTCTCGCTTCCCAAAGAACCCCTTGATCTCGGATCCGCCGTACATTGGTCGATTCTCCGACCTTGCAACTTTGTCGGAAAAGTACCCCTAGCGATGCAAAGAAGCAGGGCGGAATTTACCGCCTCACAAAAGTAGGGCGGATATCTCCGCATAAAGTATGGCGGAAACAGCGACGACAAACTGGGGCGGAAATCCACACCAAATGATATTGAAAGTAGGGCGAACATTTCTGCTCCCTTACGGCATACGTAGCCCGAAGCACGGCAGATCAATCGTTTTCCC